AGCCCAGCGCGAAACGAAACTTCCCCAGGGAACGTTTGACTCCTGGCTTCAGAAGTAGCAGCTGAATTTGAAGTCTGCAAAAAATTAATCTTCTCTCTCTCTCTCTCTCTCTCTCTCTCTCTCTCTCTCTCTCTCTCCATCTCTCCGTCTTTCTGACATTGCGCAAGTCCTGGGGAATCGTATTAGCTGCATTTTGACATACATATCATATAATGGGATCCACATATGGTCACGCGGTGCAAACCTCTAACTAAAGACCACCTGCTACTAAAGACCGCTTTTGCTGGCACCAAGGGGTGGTCGGTAGTCACAGGTTTTACTGTACCGGTAAGTGGATAGCTAACTAAAATAATTAGCCGTATGGTTTAGAAATAGTGGTGGCGACTCTGGATGGCAGTCGTGAGTCCGTCAAGTGTCAAGTCGACGGAATAGCGCTAGCTCCAGTGTGGGGAGCAAACCCATTCCTAGGTTAGCATCCCCCCACCTCACAACAGAGCAACCGAGTTTTGGATTAAGCTGGGAGTGCCGATTCGAGCAACTGGTATGATGGCTCTGCTTGGAGCCACTAGATGGCTCGCAGCTGAGCCGGCAAATGACTCTGCTTGGAGCCGGCAAATGACTCCGCATGGAGCCACCGAATGACTTCGCATGGAGCCGCCGAATGACTCTGCATGGAGCCGCCGAATGACCCCGCATGGAGCCGCCGAATGACCCCGCATGGAGCCCCAAATTGACTCCGCATGGAGCCGCCAATGACTCCGCATGGAGCCGCCAATGACTGCATGGAGCCGCCAATGACTCTGAGTAGAGCCTCCAAATGCTAAATATATTGGTATGCATAACCAGTTGAGAGCATATATTCCATAAATCGGCACTCCCGGAGCGGATCACAAAGTGCAGCTACCCGTGCAATCTGTAAGCGGTGCAAGCTAGGTAAAGACTGTCAGAACTTGATATCATGGGCTGAGGCCATTGCCGCAGCCACCCATACTTTGGCTGCAGGTGGCGTCCGAATGTTACTCGGGCAGACATCGCTTTCCACCTTCCCGCCTCTCTGAATATCGAGTCCCGCAGCTGATTCGAAACGAGTGGCCGGTGTACAACGCCAGGCCAAAGCCACAACTGATGAGCAATATCCTCGCAGTTGCTGTAAATGCCCATCAATTGGCATTCGCAGCTGATGCCGCTAGTTTTCGCAGGTGCTGCGGGCTGCCACAATTGCAAACAACCTTTTGCGATTGCTGCTCTGCTTGATTGACTGTCCATCGCCCTATCCCCGGTCGCAATTGTACGAGCACCGGCCAAGTGCACCACTTGCATCAGTGAATACCAGCAAGTCGGGGGACGGCGTCCATTTAGGGTATAGGAAGAAGGACCGACCGTTCCGCTAATCCAGGAGCTCAGGCCATCAGCGAAGATCTTTGAGGCACTCTTTGGAGAGCTTGATCAGGTAACACGGCTGCCGGTACCAGTTGGCAAGTGACCACAATCTGCAATTTGCATCCAGGGGCTATCACTCTTGTAGCAAACGGGAGCTTTCCCAGAAGAGACTCGAGTTGACATTGGGTAGTTGAAGCTGTGTGAAGAGTGGCCCCAAGGAGATCACGAAGCTCGGCAAGTTCGTCCATAGGCATACTGATGTTAGCGCGGCGGGTGTCCAGGATGACGCCGATAAACATCAGGACGTGGGCTGGACCCTCCACTTTTGCTGACGCCAGAGAAAACACCGAGGTATGTAAACGCGCGGCGCCGAGTAGCGAGTTGCTGGCGACCTAACACAGGTCCAGAGCATGCATTGAGGAAGCACTTTTACTGACGCCAGAGAAACACCGAGGTATGTTAACGCGCGGCGCCGAGTAGCGAGTTGCTAGCGAGCTAACACAAGTTCAGAGCAGGCATGGAGACAGAAACGTTAGTCGAGGCACTCCCCGTAATAGGATGATGCCAATAACGTCAGGACTTGAGCTGGACCCTCCACTTTTGCTGGGGCCAGAGAAACATCGAAGTATGTAAATGCTCGGAGCAGAAAAGCGAATTGCTGGCAAGCTAACACAAGTCCAGAGCATGCACTGAGGAAGTAACGTTAGTTGAGGTATTCCCCGTAATGCAATAGGCGTGTGAGTGCGAACTGCTAGCACATAATCCATTCACTGGCGGATGCGACAGAGTTCCATATAGCTGGACTGGAGCGTAATACAGTCTGAAGGGCAGGGCACTCTCATAAAAGTATTGATCCTGCCAGCGGATCGACAAGGACCAATCCTCCGGGCGGACGGGAATTCGGCAGAATGCACTTTTAACATTGAGCTTAGCAAGATACACCGGGGCGAGCACAATTGTGGAGGAAATTGTTTGGGAACGCATGTTCCGCAAGTTGCATGCTCGAAAGTCGAAAACAGCAATGACATGCAAGAGACATTGTACAGGATCTTGGAGGGCGCATGACCATGTGACTCGCGCATGCGTGCAGGTCGGGCCAGCTCGCTGGACTGCCTGCTAACTTGCGTTAGCATGCTAACGCTCATTATGGTTTAGATCGCATTATTGTAATGGTTGCGGTTTGATTTCAAAAGACCATAGAACGTGTCGTACTATCGGTCGAAAGTTTAGGGGTGTGGTACTAATGGGCTGGGAATGTAAGGATCGGGTAGATTGCAGTGTTTTAATGGTCGTAGTTGTTGTATAAATAGAATGCTGAGATAATTAGAAGAGGACTATGAGGAGGAGCAAAATGACAGGGGTGACAGTGTTAAAGCTCTGAGCAGACGGCGTCGGCAGGAGTGCCTACACAGAGAGTAGAAGAAGGGAGAAGAGAGGTCCCGCCGCCTCGAGAGTCGCCGTGCTTGCGAAAGGCTATGCCAACAGCAAGAAACGACGGAGCAAATATCCCGTCGTTTGGAGACTCACCGCCTTCGTGACAAGACGCGTTGACAGCTAGAGACCGCTGCACAGGCATCCATTCAGCAGGAGAAAATACATGCTCTCATGCTCGAACTTGTTCGGTGTGCGGGGCCATCATCATGTTACGCACCAGCCTGGCCCTATTCCGTTGATGTTCCGTACCATTCTGGCAAAGACTGCTGGCCACATGTTGAAACAGGGCTTGAAAAAAATGAAATAAGCTAGTACCAAAGCGTAATCTATTATTATATTTACTTTTACTTGGTAGAATGTACCTGTCTGAGAGTTTGCGTTTTGAGTTATGTATCGATGTGCGTTTATGAACTAAAGTTTTGATTGTCATGCACATGTTTTTGTATTGCAAAGACGTTTCTATCAGTTCGAACAACACACATGATGACCTAGGCAAATATTAAGCATAGCGAGTGCTCCTGGGCGGTCAAGCCCTCTTTAGCCTTCAAGCCCAAGCGCTCTTTATTTGTGCGATATCGAAATG